AACAAAAAAGGTGAAAAAAAAAATTTTATTTTGTTATATCCCAAAAATTGGGGATTTAATTTGTATAAATTTTAAGGGGGGAAAAACAAACTGTTATATATCAATACAGATTTAAAATTTCTCTTTAAAGGGTCTGAGATAATAGGTTAGTAAAAACAAAAAAAAAAAGTTTCAAAACCCTAAAAGTTGAAATTTCTAGTTGTTTAAAAAAACAGTTTCTTTTTTAAAATTGGGTTTTTAAAAAAAGGGACTGAAAAGATTGCATAGTTGCACCCTAAAGAGTTCACTAAGTAAAATAATCAAAAATTATTTAGAATATCAAAAAATGAAAAAAATTAATGGGGAATTTAAATTTAAACAAAATTTTTCCCCAAACTGTTTTTATTTTATTTAATTTTTAATTTGAACTTACTTTCCATTTTAGCCATTTTCCATTTTCCTTAAATTCCGTTTAATTTTAATATTTTTTTTCCAAATTTTAAAAACCCAAATTTTTTATCGTTTTGAGAATTTAAATTTATGTAGAATTTACGCCCCAAAAAAAATGTTTTTCAGAAAATCAATTTTCATAGCAAAAAAAAATGCCTAATATTATCGGTCTTTCCTTTTAAAGGGGATTGGGCCCTTTATCAAAGTATCAATTCCCCAAAAAACAAATGAATTTTATTAAAGCCCATTAAATTATATTTAATTTATTTCTGCTTTTAGCAGACGTTATCTGATACACGATATACCCCAGGAAAAAAATTTAAAAAATAGGGGACCTTTTAAAATTTGTCAAACTTTTTTTACTTTTTTAAAAAAATGTAAAACAAAGCATTTTAAGACGAATTGTTTTTTTCAATGTTACCCCGTTAAACTTAAACAAAAAGGGAAAATTTTTGTATACAGTATTAGGGGGAAATTTTATCCCTTATACAAATAAAAAAAATTTTAAGGGTTTAATTGTTATTTTTGTTTGATTTTAAAACACACTGCACTTTATTTAAAATTTCAGGGGGACTTTTTAAGGGTTTACTGGTCCGGCGTCATTTTCCCCTTTGTGCATTTTTCGTAGGCCAAAAAAGCGGGAAACCTGAGTAAAAAAATCGACCCTTTGCCGTTAGTTAGCTTAAAAATCCCTCCTCACGGAATTAATTTCCCGACTTCTTTACGAGGGCTTTATCCCAACGGTGGAGGAAGGGGGTCTGAAATTTTTGACATCAACCAATCGACACGGAAAGATCCTTTTTAAAATTTTTGAAAAAAATGTCACCAAAAAAAACGTTAAATTTTTGCTACAAAAATATGCTTTTTAAAACCCTTGGTTTTTTTTAAATTTCCAAGGGCATTGCCTTTTTCGTGTGAATTTTCTTATTTGGGGGAAAAAAAAGTTTGGGAAAATTTTTTCTGTTTTGTGATGGAAACAATGGGTTTTAAAAAAAAGGGATTTTCACACATTTTTAAAAAAATTTAAAAAAAAAGAAAACGAACTTAATTATTTCAAATTTTTTAAGCTCTACGGGGGATTTTAAACCCAAAAGTTTTGGCCCCAAAAATTAAAAACCTAATTAGAGAAACCCCCTAATGGTCTTACTTTTTAATTTGGGGGGGGAAGAATTTCAAAGCCCCCAATTTGTTGCCCGCGGGGGAAACGCAGTTGGGTTATGTGTGCTTGGGCGCATTGGGCGTGTGGGGGCAGAGCCCTACCCCTTTTAAAGCTTGGGTTTCTTGACGCAGACGTCTTTAATTCGTCTGCATAGTACGAAACCCGATTTTTGAAAAAAACCGAACCCCCCCTTTAAAAAAGAAGGGAGTCCCAACCTGGTTTCCCCCCGCCCCCCAAACGGGAAAACCCTTTTTCATGCCTAGACAAACAGTCAGAATTCCTGAAAAAAAAATTAAAAGCTTATACCCACTTCCCTAGGGAATGCTTCGCAAGGGCCGCTTTCTTCGTAAATGAAACCCGATCGTGCACAGTTTTGGCAGTTTCATCGTGGTGAAAAATTTTTGGTTCTTAATTCTTAAATCCTTTTTAAATTTTATTTTCGGAAATTTTCCCAAAATTAATTTTATTTAACCCCAAAAAAATCTCTGTTTTTTTTTACGAAAGTTGCAATTTTCCAAAAATTATTTTAAATTTTTTTTAAATACCCTTAAACTCTAAAAAAATTTTTTTACCCATCGAAGGCAGAATTTCCAAAGGGCCCCCAAATTAAAAACATTTATTTTTTTTTCCCAAGGCAAAATTTTTTACTTTGCTCTAACTTAAACCTTTTTTTTTTTTTTGGTAATTATTCTATTTTACTTTTTTTCGCTTTTTAATTTTTAAAAGAGAGTATCAGTTTCAACATTTTTTTTGGCAACATTTTATCTTTTATTCAAAATATTTTTTCCCAAATTTATCTCGACCCCCAAAAACTTTAAAAAAACTTCGAAAATAAATAAGAATTCAAAAGAACAATTTTTTTTTTTCTCAAACCCAATAATAATATTAAAAAAAAATGAAATTTTTTTTTATGTTTCCCCTTTTTGATTTTAAGAAAAACTCCTTTTTCCATAAAAGGGATCAATTTAAAAATGAGCCTTTTAAGAAAGTTCAACGTTTTTTTCCACATTTTTCAATTTTCGCCCCTTTTAACAAAGGAAAGTACATGGGGACAACGGGGAGCAATGGTTACAATGCAACAGGGCGATGGCGAATTGCGGCGGTCCCAAAGGTGAAAAGTACGACAGTAAGATGATGAAAGCTCGATATACGATTTGGGGAAATAAAGGCAGAAGTGTTTCAGATACAGTAAACATAGTGACAAAAACGAAAAGCAAAATTAAAAAAAATTTTTCGAAAAAGAAAAACGTTTACCCCGCAAAGTTTTGGCGTCAATTTCGTTAAATTGTTTTTATGAATTTTAAAAGGAATTCCCTTTTGGTCGGCTTTTAAACGTAAAGGCCCGAAAATGTTTTTTTTAAAAATTTTTCCAGGAAAAGACTTTATAACGGGAAAGAAGTTTTAAATATTTTATTTATTTTTTTAACGGTAAAAAACCTAAAAAAGAAAAATTTTAACAATTTTAAAATTATTTTAAAATTTAGTTTAGACTGGTTTCAAATGTTTAAAGATTTGCCCAAAAAAAATTATTTAATTTTTCTATTTAAAAAAATTTATTTTTATTAAAGTTTATAACAGAAAAGAAATTTAATTTTAAAAAATCATTTTTCAAAAAAAAACCAAAAATTTAAAATAATTTAAAAAAATAAAATTTTTTAAAAAAACCCCAATTTCCCCGAAATTATTTTAAATGTTCCTTCCCAAAGATTAAATTTTCACCCGCCCAAAGTGAAAACCCGGTAAAACAAAAAAAAAGGATTTAAATGGTCAAAACCTACATTTGGGGAAAAAAAAACGAAAAAAGTTTAAATTTGGCAAAAATTATTAAGTTTAAAATTAAATTTTTCCCCCAAAATTTTTTGGCCAACCAATTTTTCCAAAACCGTTTTCGGAAAAGAAAATTCAAAAAATCTTTTGGGCGTTCCAAATTGGGGAAAATTTTCAATGTGAAATTTTCACCCTTCGTTGTCCCGTTTTTCCAAAGTTTCCTTTTAACCCCCACTTTAAATTTAAAAATTTTGGGATTTGTTCTAAAAAAGGATTTGGGAAAATTTTCAGAAAAAAAACCTTTTTTTCAAAAATATTCCTTACGTAATAAGTGTGATTTAAAAAGAAACTTGTAATATGCAATAACTGCCTTTCTCTTTCTTCAACGTATGGATTGCACTTAAACAAGTTAAGGCAAATTGATCGATTCATTTCAGAATGAACATATCAAATATCAATATATATATATATATATATATATATATATATATATATATATATATATATATATATATATATATATATTGATATATATATACATTAAGTACAATTCCTATTCAACAGCCAATATATTGGTTTCCGATTTCTATAATATTAAGTCATTTATCGGTTTCCCCTTCAGTGATTATGTTTTGCACTGTTAAAGGCACATAGCCGAAACATATGCAATAAATAATTACTGAATGTTCGTGTTTATGGGAGTGGTCTGTTTATCTTAAAGGTCAATATTGGTATTTACAACATTTAATACAATAACAGTTCGTACTCAATTTCGAAAATCACGCAATCACCTTTCATAACATTGATTTTAGAATTTTCATATTAAGATAGCTGCTTAACAAAAATAAAGCAAACCCTGTATATGCGAATTGGTCAATTTATTTTTGAATGTATAAATCAAAGATCAAATTCGTTCATAGTTTCCAACTTTCGTTTAATATTAAGAACATGTATTTTGGGTGTTTTATATGAAGTTATGAAAAGTTTATCCATTGCCTGATTGAAGGCTGCAAACTTGGCTTTGTTTAAGGGCTGTTTGAACATCTTCCATTTTAATTCGCCGTCACGACCCAATACTTGTATCTCGCCAGTGTATCTAATAACAAAGATGTATCCATTCGTGTCTGTAACTACAGACGATACTTTCGAGACTTCTTTGTCAAAGATTAACGTGCCATCAAGCTCAAAACATCGCAACTTATCGGTCACTTCACAACACTGAATAATACGAAATCTTCCGTCCACATGTTCGAGATGTTGTACAGCTATTCTCTGACCGTCGAAGAAATTTGTGAGCTTTATTTCACGGTAGAAACCTCCTCGAGTAGTCATAAGACTGAGGTTCCATCCGTCAATTCCGTTCTTGCAAGCTACCAGTAATTTGTCATCTACAAGTTGCACACACTTTGGATGGAATTTCGTCTTTATAAACTTGTCGTCCTTAAACTTATCTTGTTGTATATTGATCAATAGGATTTGGTTGGTTTTCATAAGACAAACTGAAACACAAACTTCACTAAGAAGACTTATCTGCCCTGGCTCATAACCAAGAATTTTTGTAGACACTATCTCATACTTTTTATTTAAAAGAAAAAGTCTTGAATGTTTGAAGTCAGATAAAACAAGGTTTTCGTTTGGAAGACAAACTATGCCGCCAAACCACGATTCTTTTTCGTCAGACGACGAAATGGGAAAGAACTCTTGTGTTCCAATGAAATGTCGTATTCTGTCAGTTCTACATATTCTTTATCTTTTTTCACAGTTGCTGTATTTTCATGTTCTTCATGAATGGGTTTGTCAATCTCCATTGCATCGCTTGAATTGCTGATTTTCTCTAATTGTGTTTGAGCTGTTTCAATTGTATGGCTGTTTGCCATTTCATTAACATCTTCTTGTTCCACATTATCTTTTTGTAATGCATCACGTTTGTCTTCTATTGAACAAAGAGAGATTAACTGGTTTTTCATAACTTCATAGGGCTGCTCTTTGTGATCAATTAAGGATCGTTTGATTTTCGTTTCTTTAACTTGAAACTGAACTAATGGTTTGTCAAATTTCTCTAACATTTCAAACAGATCGGATTTCAAAATGTCGAATTCTTGTTTAATGTATTCCTCCTCTATTTCCTTTTCAGTTTCAAGCTTGAACTCTCCAATAAGTTCAAGCATTCTTACTGAACATCTAAAAACATCATCTGGTGTACCAGATTCGAGAACTGATTCCAGTAATGACTTATTTGTTTCTGCTGTCTTTATAATATTTTCGAGCTTTTCAGTGGATTTTGAATATTTTTCATTAATGCCAGTGTTGATTTTATCAGCCTTTTTTATTATTCCTTTGGTCTTTTCGTCAAACGTCTTAATGATTTTAGCACGGAGTTGTTTAATGTCTGCTTTGAGACCCTCTGTTTTCATTGTTGACTCATTTTCTATTTCCTTCATTTCCTGAACAGTATCTCTAGCACGAGATATTGACTTTTGAAATTCAAATTTAGCCATCTCAGGTAGGTGACAACTTGTCAAAGATTTCCCTACACTATCAATATCAACTATTGTTTTGTTACATTTTATGTGTTGTTCTGCTTTTATGATACACAAACTACACAAAAGTTGTTCGTGTACCCAACAGTAGAACTCGAGCGGTTTATTTGGATGTAGTTGACACATACGAAGGTTTTCTATCCCACTACACAAAAGAAGAGTATGTTTGTCTCCGATGTCTGCTAATAAATGCCCTCTTGTCAGTTTGAACGATTTATGAAGGTCGATACAATCTTTACACAAATGTTCCTGACACGATCTGCAGAATTTAACTGCCAAGGAGGCAATACCCCGATATTCACAAGAGTCACATGCCACTTTGTCGTCTTCAGACATCCTAAAAAGTGAAAAAGGCTTATGCAGTCAAGTATTGCACTAATTGTATATAAATGTTATAAAGTTGTACGTTACATGACTGAAAATTGCGATTACTGTTTTGAGATATAGCTTTATCTACAAAGAAACCATCGTGACGTTTCACGGGTTTAATACGATACTCCCGGGAAAATATCATGAACAATTGATAAATTGTAAACTCTGCAGTGCCGTAATGTGAACATTGCTTAACAAAATTTGTTTTTTAAATTTTAGTATTTTAAAACATACCTTTGTGTTGTTTATCCGCTGTTGTTAAACTATTTTCATTCAAATGTATTGTACTTGGAGATACACTTTACAACCTCGTTATCTGATAGAGACCTTCTTACAAATCACGCATTTATAATCAACGAAGCGTCATCTGTGTTACAAGCATTCAAAAATACTCTTCGGTTTTAATGTAGGTTATTGATTTGGCTGGTCTGATAGCATTGTGGTTTATGTTTACAAAACGTTTTGTTAAACATTAGTTTTAATAATACTTGCCCCACATTGATAGATAAAGTTGCGCGCGTGATTAATGTGTCCTTGAAAAGCAAAACACAAATGAAATAACTTGTATTTCAAAATCAATAAAATCCATTTAATAAATCGTGACCCCCATTGACTTATTCTAAATTCCACGATTAATAGCTTTAATGCTGTGTTATCACCGCCGATCAGATCAACTCGATCAAGCACGATCAAGCGATCGGGTACCGGTCTAGCTCGGTCTGCGTGCGTGATAGGGTTGTCGGAGCGGTCTACCTTGGTCGGCATGGCTCGGGTTTCCTACCCGAATTTTTTTTACATGTCAAAAAAATTTGAGTAGCGATCGAGTAAATAAGTAGTCGAGAAGCGATCGTATAGTGATCGAGTAGAAGATCTAGTTGATCAAGAATAAATCGTGTAACGATCTAGTTTGGTCGGGTATACATCTCTTACCCGATCTGTACACGATCATCTCGACTTCGATACACGACTATTCACGACTCGATTTCGATCATTACGATCTGGTCGGGTGTAAATCTGGCAACGATCGAGCAGAGGTCCAGTTAGTCTAGTTGAGATCGTGTATGACTCGCGTGTAGGTCTGGGTGATCGAGAAGAAGTCGGGATGTTGGTCGGGTTGTCGTCGAGAAGAAGTCGTAAAACATCGTGTAGGGTCGATTTAAGGTCGTGTAGGAGTCGTGAATGTGCATTTAATCCAGCTTGGTCGGGCTTCATCGGGGAATTAATGTGATCGGGACGATCGAGTTGATCTGATCGGCGGTGAGAACATATAGCATTACAGCGCTATGTCTCATTAAACATATTCTATATGGTAGAGGTTGTTTCGATTTCTAAAAAGAGAAAAGAGATTCTTGTAGCCGTTAAATGTTGAAAGATTTAATGAAATTGATTACAACTAAATTATCATACCACTATTTTCAAAAGTTGCAAGTTTTTCTCGAATAGCCGGTATAATACACATTCTTCCGTTGAATGATGCACACAAGAACACTTTTTTGGTTGGGAACAAATGTAAATGTGTACCAGGAATTTCTTTGAACTTTATCCCGCCCGAATTCACTGTCTGTTTATCTAAATGGACATAATTGGCAGACCTGTTTTGCACATAAAATTGAAATTGGGCTGTTGTATCCTGTCATTGAACACAAACCGGCATCTACAGATTGTACTATAATCAACTTCATTTTTTTACTTTGGTTGATTTTCCTTGTTCTGAAAGACATCCATCTATGTAGCCTAATGTGACATCACATGGTGTTATTTTGATATGAATATCACTTGCAATAATTCCTAGGGTAGAGTAATCTATATAGACTTTAGAAAAGGTAATGTTTTAGTTCTCTATCCTGGATCCAACCGATATGATAAATGGCTTTCGGAGAAATAAAAAAAAATTAAAAAAACAAAACACGTGGAAACATGATTAAGTACGAGATTATTATGAATAACGGTCGAGGTGTTCCGATTCCATAATCTGGGAAGAGGCATACCGTGAGATATCGGACTAATACACGGCATCAACATTTTTTTTAGCAGAAACGTCCCTCGATGTCCTAGCCAGTGTTATATCCTCGTAACTAACTCATTTCATAAACTATAAATAATATGAATAAGGCGAAGCCTCGAAGCGAGCTCTTTGAGATAAATTATAGTTCATATACATTTCACCATGCTCATTGCTCACTTTTTACCACACATTTTATTATAATAACAATATACTTTGAACTGTTTACTATACTAATCTAGGTTCGAAATTCGGCCATTTCATGTTTTATGTAACATCTAAATAGTGAGAACATAAATTCAATCAATATCCAATTTCGGTATTTATAATTACATTTCGGGAAGAGGAATTCGCCAAACGGGGACCTACGCGGAAGTCGATTTTTACTCGGCTTCTACTTCTATTTTGTCTTTATTTTATGGATTAAATGATTATAAAGTTAATTATTTTGACTGTAATTTATGAAAAAATAATGTACTACGTATATACTTGAGTCAGTGAAATTGTACGGACATGTACTTTTTGATTAATTCATCTAACGATCGTGGACGCAGTAGTCCCGTTTCGGAAGATCGCGAAACTTTGCATCTGGATTAACGGTAATTGGTAACGGGGCCCGAATGTCAATTTGAATTGGAACCAAAATGAGAAATGAAACCAGAAAAATGATTCCCGGCGTGCTTCGAGAAATAATAGTGCAGGTAACCTGCTGGTACTGATTCCTGGCGTGCCCCAAATATATTAGGACATGTGACCAAAATCGCCTACGATGAAGAGCAGGAATGATTTTGCTGTACTTCCGGCAAAAGTTTTCAATTCATCACTTTAGCAGGTTCTTGCGTTACCGTAATGCTCGCTTTGCGAGCAGGCCTTTCGGCTAGCTCTTCAAGCTCGCTATTACATATCAATTTCATAGTCTTTTGAAAAACAGATAATAACTAGGTTGTTAAAATGGTTAAATACGTATATCTGATGATTAAGCAATATTGATGTCATATGAAGCTCATGCAACGTCAAACGCAAATACTAATGATTATTTTACAATAGTTAACCATATATCATTTGTTTATTCATATATTTATTGTTTACCTGAACTTTTATACTATCCCAATACAAGAATAGGACAAGTGAACTGAAAAATGATAATAGCTCTGTTACAGATGACAGACTGTCAATAAACATAAACCATATATCGTTTGATGACAAGCCGATTCCTTTTGAAATATTTGTTTCTGTACTTGACAACCGATTGTATTTATTGTTTTGAAGGTTCAACAGGTATGTATATTTAACTGTGAAAAAAAAAATAATTTCTACCTGAAATCTTAAAAAAGTATTTTATTATTGTTTTGAACATTCTATCTAGAAAGGTTTGATGGTTGTATTTAGCTGCATTCGTATGCCTTAAATACTGCACATAGGGTCGTCTTAGGTCGAATTGTAATGATAGCATATCCTGTCAACGGCCATAGCATATGGAATGCATGAACGGTGTCTGTAGATTCCATATTTATGTCTCAAACTTAACTTGGAACAATATAAAGGGCATTATGCCGGATGCCATGTAATCGATGTCAGGGGCGAGTTCTTAACACGATTACGTCCAGTTAAAAAACGTGTTTATGTGAGAATGCTAAATCAATTGAAAATTTGAGTTCTTTTCCAAGCAGGTGCATGTCACGTGATTTTAAAAGTCTTCTTTAATTATTAATTTATTTAGTTCTTTAATTATTAATTGAATTAATTATTTACCTTATTACAATTATTTTCCATAGAAATTAGTGTCATTTCGTCCGTAACTATTATTTTACAATAGCGTATGAAATTACAATTTTATTCAAAAATATACGCTTAAGTGACGCAGTTGTATAGCACGCACGCTCCCTTCCCCATGACAAATAAAATTAGGGTAGAACTAACGGAAACACCGGGCAGTCTGCAAGAATAAAAATATAATACTAAGCTTCATCTACAATAAAGTACCTTTTAAGTGTCATGCTCATCTCGAACAGATAAAAATTGAATTTATCTGTATTCATATATTAGTAATGTTTGTTTATAGGCCGCCGGATAGAAGTCGATTATGGATTGACACATTTGAGCAGTTAAGAGATAAACTTGATCGTTTTTAAAACATTGAAACTCATATTCTTGGCGATTTAAACTTTAACTACATACCCGGAAAGAAATCAAACCAATTTACAAACGAAAGATGGCATGATGCTATCTTAAACACAAATGACCCAATTAGCCAAACACATTCAACACGTTTCGACTATCATTGATCATATATATATACAATCAGATGCGATCTAGTTAGCGAAGTTTCATTCTCGTATATAGCGTTTGTGATCACTTCCCAGTATGTTTTACAAGATCACTTAAACATTCAATAAGTAAAAATCAAAATGAAACATAAAACGTTAGAGATCGTTCAAAACATTTGATTAAATTACTTTAGAAAATGAACTATCTATTGCTCCTTTTTACACTATTGAATCAATAACTTATCCAAATGTGTCTATAAAGTTTTCTATAATATTATTAATGACGTACATGTACTTTCAAAACACCCACCTATAAAAATAAAACGAGTTAAACGTGATATTTAACCTTATTGGTTTAATGAAGAAATAAAACATGTAATTTTTGAAATAGACTTCTTACAGAAGACTAAACAGTTTGAAAAGTTTAAAATAATGCGAAATAAGGTTTCGTCTATGATTAAGAGAAGCAAAAAAAATACAACAAGGCTATATAGAAACGTTTTATTTTGAAAAAAAAAAATATAAAAAAATTCTCCAAGACGACAGCATACTTTTACCAGCTAACTTGCTAAACAATAACAATGAAGAGATCGAAGGAGAAACAAATAAATTAAATATGCTTAATGAACGTGTCACCAATATATTCAATATAATCAATAAAACATTATCAGTTGAATCAAATTTCAGACATCACAAAGAATTTATTGTCGCATGGTTTTGGAACTTTTTCTTTGTTCTTACTTAACCCATTAAGTGTTACTTACTAAGTGCACTTTCAATGAACATTTCAAAACTGTATTGATACATAAAAGTGTTGCAGTTTTTTCATTGATGCATATAGGAAAAAAACAACATCAAATATATGACAGTTGAGTGTTTTTCGCATCATACATATATCAGTATAGTTTTTTACAGAGGTTCCAATGGGGGTAGGGGTAAAACAATAATGTAAACAAGTATAATTAATGAAATGAGGTTTATTCTCATAAAATCAAAACTTTAAGGTACCATCGCTGAATGAATTATTTCCACTGAAAAAGCTCTTTTTATTTTGAATCAACATTATTTTCTCCACATTTTGGATGTCATTACGCTTTCCAGGGTGATATATATTGTTTTTCAATTTGATTAAAATCAGCTCTAAATAACGCTCAGCTTTTAGTTTTGCCCGTGACCCAATACGAAAGCATTTCTGGTGACATTTCAAACAGCCAATAATTGGCGAGCTTTTATAACTTTGAAAGCGACGTGGTTTCCAATTTTCACCCTGGGAAAACTAATACTGAGTACGTAATTTTCACGATTTCGGGACAAACATGGCGCTGTCCATATATCCGGCAAGTTAACTGGCAAAACAATCTTGCCCAATAAAAATTTGATTCTATTATTTCAAGTTTATTTATTAAAATATACACCTAACATTATTTTTCTTACAAAAACCAACAATTTGTTTAGCTTCCACGGATTTTGATTGCATGGCTAGTAGGCTTGTAACATCTGGAGTCCCTCAGGGATATATCCTGCGCCCCCTTTTATTTTTATCATACATTAATGATATTGCTTTAGCTACTACACATTTTAATGGTAATATAGAATTTTATGCTGACGATTCTACCATATATGTATCTGATCATGATTTGAATGCAGAATAAAATAAACGAAATTTGGATGCCATAGATCGATGATGCAATTTAAACAATATGTTAATCCATCCAAATAAAACAAAATGCATGATATTATGTAGAAACAAAACAGTAATTATTGTATGAACTTACTTTATGTATTGCAAAACAAAAAATAGAAAATGTAAACATACAAAAATTGTGAGGTGTTAAAATTGATAATGACTTGTCGTAGAATTACCAAATTGAAGCACTTTGTTCAAAACGTAACTCAAAAATAGTATTATTGAGGCGCATATCTTATTGTATGACAGATGAAATGAAACAGTTATTAATTAATGCATATTTAATGTCTAATTTTGATTAGTGCTGTACTGTTTGGAGCAAAGGAAATTTATGGTCTTTAAATGAAAAAGGTAAAAAACAAATAAGAGCTAAACGGATTATTTTAAACAAAACATCACGAATTATGGAAGGGTTCCCGAGGTACGGATATTCCGATCCGAATCGCAAACGTAAGTCAGATATTTTGTCTTGGATATTAATTCTACCATATTTCATAATATCTTAAATTCTTTACCTTAATAAAACTATTTTTTCATAAAAATTCGTGTCATTTCTCACGTAACTATTTTCTTACAACAGCGAATGAAATTACAGCTTAATTCTTTTTTTTTTATTCACAAATATTATACATAATTATACATAATTATACATATATACAATGACATAATTTAACAAATTCAATTTGAGATATTCATATGTATTAGAGTTACAACGTACATAAACACACAAAGTGAAAAAAGCTTGAAACTATCTAGAGGTTAGTATATATCTTTTAAAATTTGTAGTATTTTGTCGAAAAAATTAACTTTTGTCTTCTTGTATTTAAAGTATTGATAAATTATTTCAATATTCTGTTTTAAACAGTTTTAAAATGTTAAATTCATTTGACCAATTATTACTACAAAAGTAAGCTTTATAAATACTAAAACCTACAATGGTGAGTATAACATTTATGTAAAAGTATTCTTCTTGAGATATTTTATAACCGAAAATAAGGATGTCTAGTCTGCGTATATTTCTTTGAATTCCGCACTCAAAAATATATATAATATTTTCTCCCAAAATACATTTACTGCCATACAATCGATAAAAAGATGTTGATAATCTTCTATTTTATTACATTTATTACAGAGTGGAGATGAGACCATTTTCCATTTATAGCGCGTTTCTTTGCTTGTAAAGATCATGTTTATTACTCTAAATTTGAATTGTTTATACCGATTATCAGGAATTCTTGTAATGAATTTATATATATCATTCCAGTTTAGTTTTATCTCATATTTATTTGACCAATACGAATGTGTAGCGGGTTTAATGAATACTTTGTTTACTAATATTTGATATATTGTTTTTGAATCCATCAATTCAAAAGGTCTGTTATTTATCTTAAGACGTTTTTCTGTTTTTATTTTTGTTTGCGAAGAGTGAAACGTTTTCATAGTTTGTTTCCAGGTTAGAGGTATAGCTTTAAAGAGCAAGTTTAATTCAACGACGCAGTTGCGTTTATCTACTAGCTTATTTAAGATAACATTTTGATCTACTTCACCCTGATCATTAAGTAAATCATTTAAAAAATATATATTCGATTTAATCCATGTTTTAAAAAACAAACATTGGTTTTTAATTTTAATAAATCTATTGCCCCAGATTATTTGTTTTCTTATTTGTTTCAAATGTCAAATTTTGATTTTCCTTATGTAAATCGCGAGTTTTTATCCATATTTTAATAAGTTCTTGATAAAATTCAGTCACATTACTACAATTGAGACTTTTAATAGTGTCTGTATTACAATAAAAATATTAAAAAATTGTCACCAAAATCTTTCAGTAGGCGTTTCGGAATTAATTTCCAGTTTGCTTCTGATTCATCAGTTAAAGCTTTTACCCATTTAAGTTTTAAAGAAGTTATATATGAGTCTAAGTCTAGCATATCTATTCCTCCTTGTAATTTATTGCCTATTAAAGTTGCACGTTTTACTTTTTCTTGTTTATTGTCCCATAAAAATTTGAATATCATTGTATTGATTTCTTTCACGATACTTTCTGGCACAACTAAAGAATGAAACAAATAAGTAAATTTTGGTATCAATAACGATTTTATAATTTGAACTTTTCCATACATCGTTAACTTACGTTTTAACCAAATTTTTATTAGACTTTGACATTCAGTTGGTTTTGACTGCCAATTGAGTTTAGAACACTCTTCGTATTGTATGCCAAAATAGACTCCTAGTGCTTTAATTGGTTTATTCGGCCATGTTATATTTCCTACTTTATCAGTTCGTGATTTACTTCTTCCTATCCACATTGCTTCAGTTTTTTTGCTATTGAGTTGTAACCCCGAGTATTTGCCAAAGCGCTCTACCAGATTTATTGCATTCAGAATGTCTTGTTCAGATTTCAGAAAAAGAGTAGTGTCATCAGCAAGCTGTGCTATTTTAATTTGTTTATTATTATTTTCGATTTTTATCCCTTCTATACTGTTTGAGTTTCTTATTTCAATGGCCATAATTTCAGCAGCTAATATAAATAAAAGAGCAGATGATGGACATCCCTGTTTAATACCTCGATTTAAGTTAAATATCTCTGATTTATGTCCATTGTTAAAAATACATGATTTAATATCATTATAAAATGTTTCGACCCAGTTTATAAAGTTCGATTTAAAACCAAATTGTTTAAGTACATTAATTAAAAAATTCCATTCTAGAGTATCAAAGGCCTTACGAAAATCTAGAAACATTATCGAACCATCTATTTGAAGTTTTTCTGAATAATCTATTATGTCTTGTATTAAACGTATGTTATATCCGATAAATCTGTTTTTAATATAACCTTGTTGGTCTAAGCTTACTATTTTATGAATTACAGTTTGCAATCTATTGGCAAGAGCACGAGTTGCAATTTTTACATCAACACATAATAATGAGATTGGTCGATAGTTTTCTAATAATAATGGGTCCCCTTTTTTATAAACTAAAGATAGACAACTAATTTTTTGTGAATGAGATAATAGTTTTTTTTATCAAAACATTCATTTAGACACTCTGTGAGATGTGAACCTACACAATAGAAAAATTCTTGATAGAATTCTGCAGGAATGCCATCAATTCCTGGTGATTTATTTGGCTTAAGTCCATTAACAGCAGTTTTTTTTTCGTTCAAATTTAAATAGCCTTCGCACTTACTCGCTTCATCATCGGCTTAATTCTTAACGGCGAAATTACGGCATCGTAAGCATGTCATTGTATAGACCGCGATCTACATGCCAGATGAAATTTCTGGTATGGGTACTAATGGACAAATCAGTCTGATATGCAAGAAAATACAATTCTTGCGTTTGTGTTAAAGTGACATTATGCTATTTTTCACTATGTAGCTGAGATAAATTAGCTATACATTTGTATCATTATTTTACATGAATGACGATTATAATGGCGATTGAACAATAATTGATAATCACAAATGTTAAGGATAATATGTTAAAACAGCCTAAAATATCAAAATACTATCTAACTCTTTTAATAATATGAACATTATTCACTTAATTGCGTCACTTCGCGGTTCTGTGAAGAACCATGAAAAATAGTTGACTATGAACGGAATTCGATAAAGTATCTATGAAAATTAACACACACTATTTTTAGGATATACAGCGTTTTCATTGGATGACAAATAAAGCTGCACTTATGATAATTTCTGCTGGAAATTTATAGATATTGATGTTGGTGAAAGGGTTATTCACTATTCTATTGACATTTATCATAAAATTGAAAATGTAGAATTATGAACACTCACCATTTACTTTTGGATGGACATAATGTGAAGCATTGTCCTGTTTAGATTCTAGCTTTAGAGTCACTGCTTGATATCAATAATAGCAAATAGTGATTAATCACCCATATTGTTATTGGAAAAGATCTATATATTTGTCAAACATAAAGAGAGTAAATCAAATACCGCTAATTGGAAAAATAAAGTATTCACAGATCACATATAAAAATACCAGTCATGGAAGAAAATTAAAGATATAGAAGTGTAGAATGCTTTCAAAGACTTTAAATTCTATTTTACTGTGATATTATGTGATTTAGATGTGATTTAAACGTGATGTGATTTAAAGTGATTTGTATGTATTTTTTTAATTTAAACATATTTATTTCAATATTTTACATATATTACATTTTATATGTATATAATTGTTACATAAGATTGAAAGGGATTAGAACGAAAGAAAATATAGTTCCTCTCCCATAAATATATTATGTGCATAGATCTAAAATAAACAATTAGAAATGATTTTTCTGACAAAACAAACACGTGTTATATCTTGCCACACAAAAATAACCATCAAGGTAAAATGCATAGTGTTGTTGACATTGCTTTGTTGTGTTTCGGGTAATAAAAATGTGTATCGAAGGACTAACGATATATTTCTACAAAATACTTTTTCGTCACTCACAAGTGCTACAAGAGTTAAATGTTGTGCTTATTGTGATCAGACGGACGATTGTATGAGTGTAAGTTATCAGGAATCATCTAAAACTTGCAAGTTGTCGAGAGATCCATTAGTATCTGTGTTTGTGAACGGACAGACGGACACCAGTTGGAAAAGTTACAGTAAAAATGGTAAGCTTATTGATAAAGATATATAAAATTATACTAACTTAATCTTAATCTGATTGAGAGGGCAAATTTATTTATTTTTTAACATTTTCACCCAAACTGACACATTCATATTCAGTGGTTCAAGGATTCAGGGGGATTGACATCATTTTAAAACTGAGTACAGGAAGAAATTATTCCAGCACTGCTTATGTTACTCCTTCACGCCAAAAACTTCACCCAACCCACACCCCAACCGAAATTCTAGAGATCGAACTTATCAAGATTTTCTTCTTAAAGCAGATTCATGACTTTTTAAAAAATATATCTTAGATATTGTAAAGAGAGCAAAGAAAGTAGTTTACACATTGGAAAAGGCACTTGTAATACTGTTTAATTATACACGTCAATAACAAAAGAGAGAAGCCAAAATATGCAAAAAATAGCCCTCACTGCGTTAGTAACGCAATATGGTTATAAATACTTCAAAATGAATCATTTATTATCGCACATACCATGTAAATAATTGAATCATGAATCCTTTTACTTTTCGTAGAATATTCGGGGTTTTTTAGTTGTTTTTTCATTGATTTTCTTGAAACATTTTGGCTCATCAGGAGACATACAGTTTTAAATAAGAACGTATACCATCATTGAATTTTTTGATAATTATTTAAATATTCTTTTTAATGCTTTAATGATTTGTTTATACTGAGTAACAATTTTTACAATGGTAGTGCCACCGATATGTTAAATATCTTGAATGTTACAAATGTAGTTGGTAGCTTTTGAATATCTACTATCGAGTATCGAGTCTCAAGAAAATATATGAGCCGCGTCACGACAAAACCAACATAACGACTGCAGACTCATGCTAATTTTCGTATACTAAAGTAAGCAAAAGGAAGCAATTTACACATTATCAATGACACTTACCTACATGCCAAAAAGAGGTAAAGTTTTGCAATATAAACCTTATCTGCGTAAGTAACGCAGTAGAAATATAGGTGTAAATAATAAACAAACCAGTCTCTAATCGCACATACTTGAATCTTCAAGCCCTTTACTTTTCCTAAAACCTTAGTACATGTACATGTACATTTTTTTCAAGTTTTTTTTTTTTAAATACTTTGGCTCATCTGGAGGCATGCAGCTTAACAATCGAATAAAGCCTACAACACGATAAGATTATAAATTCTTCATGTGTAACTAAAAGATAATAAATTTCTGCACAAGTGACCAACTACTAATCCCAAATGATTTGTAAATCAGCGGTGAAAGACATTTAATGACCATTAGGCTCAATATCACAGATAAATGAGCCGCGTCGTGACAAAACCAACATAATGGGTTTGCGACCATCATGGATCCAGATACGCGCAGTCTGATCAGATTCCATGCTGGTCGCTTTCCAACTCTATTACAAGTAGAGAAACCGATAGCGAACAGCATGAATCCTAAACAGACTGCACGGATGCGCAGGCTGGTCTGGATCCATGCTGGTCGCAAACGAATTATGTTGGTTTTGTCGTGACGCGGCTCAAATTTCACCTCGTCCGAGGATCGAACCGGTAACCACTTGATCCCTGTTGAGCTAAATTGACATACATTAAATGTCAATAATTTAACCGGATATGACTGACGACCTTAGAGACTGATGTGTATCATAGTTTGGGGACATTTCTGTTGAAAATATATCAGAGTTACATTGTATACATATACATGCACAGTGCGTTAGCTAGAGTGCAGGTGTTAGTTACCCGCACTCCAGAGCATGCCAATTGATTGGCCTATTTTTGCTGGGGTTGCTTATTGTGACGACAAAGGGAAAGCGACCGAAATTTCATATTCAGATGCTTGTTCATTGGTTCCTTTTTCTGGGGTTTCATATTGTGACAACAGGGAACGTGTTTTTTTATGTTTGACTATGATACAAAAGAGGAAAAAATCAAAATAGGCCTACTTGGCAATCTTATAAATACTCGGGGCTACGTACAAATCAGATAGGCTCGTGTTTCGACTAAACTTATATATAAATTAATGAAAACCGATAAAAAAATCACGAAAATTACCGATTGTTAAATATTAAATGTTGTGTTCTAACATCAAAGCCAAATAAAGTAAACAAATGAGCATTCAAACATTTGAAGAATTACCTGTGAATTCATCAGTTGCAAATTTATTATAAAGAAAATGGATCTACAATGTTTTTGAAGTATGCGGTATTAAATTTTAATATACCCATGTGGTCTTATCTATTTGTTTTGGTGATTTGACTAATGAATGAAGGACAGAATGAAACAGTTCTGCAATATTTTTTAAATTAAAAATATCAATTGATGTAAATATGAATTATTCAGAATGTTCTGGTACTCACAAATTCATTCCATTAGGCATCAGCATTAGCCTAAAACGATTTTATCAATATAACTTTAATTAACTGATTATTGTCATTCCAAAAATCAATCTTTTATTAATAACATGTCTGGAACCTAATTGTGAATATCGTAGTTCTCATTTATAAAACATGGATGAATTAAAAAAACAATAACAACAAACAAACAAGCAAAAAACAAAAACAAAGAAAAGGAACAAATGTTTTCGAAAATAAAGTTACGCTTGACTGCATGCATATTCAGGAATTATTTCATTGTTTGGTTTGTGATTTCTCGAAAGCCTTTTTATTTCTGATGTCTTGTTATAGTTTCTATGAAGATAATTATTAGCAACTTGTCCGAACATTCTTTTATTTTGGTGCTTGTTGGCAGTTAGTACAGTTATAGTGATTTACTATATTATATGGAAGTCAAAATACTATTTTGTTACATTACAAATAATTTCACAGTCACGGCGTCACGTACTTTTGGTAAAAGCATCTAACATGCTCTAAAACCATTTCTTAAACGTTAAAATATTGATATTTGCATAATTGCACTTTCTAAAGAAGGTTTGTTTTTTTGTTTTAAGGCATAAAGTGCCTTTAAATATACGTTTCAATATCGGCATGTTACTGGTATGCACTTGACATCGTCATCTGAAGGTTACACCGGAACTGACATTTTCAGTCATTTACAAATATATCGATTAAAAACATTATGCTTGATTATTCTGTTGTGAATAATATAGTGCCCCCACCTCGTGCCCCACCTCGTGATGCTGTAACAGTTAAAGTTAAAAAAGCCAAAAAAAATTTTTTTTTAATATTTCTGTTTAAAAATAGAAATTTATCGTAAAACAGTAGGACTAGATATATATAGAATATCTGTTTTTATTACATGCTTTTCGGTGGTTTATAGAAATATATCAGTGATATAAAAATGGTAATTTCACTGTTTGAAACAGTGAAATTACCACTTTGATAATTTCACTGTTTTGAATTTAAGCTCCTTACGTTGTTTCAGTGAAATACCAGCGTGCACAGTACTGGGAACCAACTTAATGACGTGACGTCGTAAATGACGTCACGTTATATTATTATTTGGCGCGCTTTTCATTCAGTATTAGGTTAAATGTCTTTTTAAAACGTTTCTTTGCATATAATAAAAAGAAATTTTGTTTAGTTTAGTGTAAGATTGAAATATATTTCACCTTGTGAACACCAAAAGTTCATATTTCACTCGTGGCTGCGCCACTTGTGAAATATACCTTTTGGTGCTCACTCGGTGAAATATATTCCGATCTTACACTGAACTAAACAAATATCCTCTATATCTTTAACTGATCAAATATTATATCATTATATTGTCATGAATATGTATGTATTATTTAAATAAGAGTAAAAAGTCCATTTATATCTATCATACTGCAAAATGAAAGAACGACTGACTTCGTTCGAAGATAAGTTTATTTCTTCAGCATCCCGTAAACTTCGGACAAGAGGCATCATACGAATTCATCGGGGTTATTAGGCAGTGTTTATTTGCGGGAAATGTAGTTCTTCTACAATTTCTCCAAATGTGTCTATGTCTTATTAAGAAGGGACATTAAGAATATCACTTAAATGTTTTTCTGTACTGTATATATTTATCTCTATCACTTTTCCTACAAAGGAGGAGCATGGCATGTTAGCCGCCATTTTACCATGCCACTGAAAATAGTTCCACTATGTCGCCTTATTATGTCAAAGCGTAATAGCCGAAGAGATCCGATTGATCCGATAGGATACTTCCATCTGGCTCACAAAGAGTTTTAAGTTTCAAGTTTTATTGAATATAAATCCTAGTTTGCATATTTACAATACAAAAACATGAGACAAATACATTTGTAATAATAGTAATAATAAACAGTCGTCAATGTATGGTTATGCACATAATTGTTTTCTGAATGGGTTATTGGACAACAAAAAAATAAATAATGCTATCAGATTGTCTCCTTTTAGACTAAAATCAATGAATGAATCTTTATATCGATTAACTTATCATTGGTGCGTGACATTTTAAATCACATTGTTTAATCTATGTCTAAAATACTGAACCTATATTTACTATAGCGGCTCGGGTTATATATTCAAACAGTCGTTTATATAGAGCATTATAACTTGTCAAAACTATTTATAATCTAAAAATATAAACGCCAATCATGTTCATTGAAAATTGATCGCCGTAACGTATGAGCTGCGTCACGCGGCTCTTATATCGAAAGAAATAAGAAAGAGAAACTTTATGTATATGCAAACGATGGGCATATTTCTCGGTTCTTGAATTCGGAAGCATACTATTCTCTAAAGATCCTTCCAGCCATTGAATAATAAGAGATTTATAGGGTCGGAAGGTGATAATCGGCCTGCAAAACGAAAAAGAAATACTAAGAGATTAATGCACGGCAGATTAGTGCCGGACGGTGATAATCGGCCCGCGAAATGAAAAATGGCCACTGTAGCACTCATAATTAGTTCAAATCATAGTCATTTTGTTTCTTTATGTGTATATTTAGTAACAAGTGTAACTACCGATCAAATGCAAGGTCTATACAAACCTATCTTGAAAATTACTCCTCTTGCAAAAAGGTGTCCTAAATTCATGTTATATTCTCCCCTATCAAAAATGAGTCTATTATTTGCAAATACAAACTTAACAAAAAAATTACATATTTCAGAATGGTTGTTAGTGTTTCGTGGAACTCCAGGTATCGGTGGTGATATATATACAGCATGGGTTGACGGAATTGGCATCACCGTAGATGACGTCACATGTATGACGACTGTCGTTACTACGTGCGATAAGAATTATCGTAATCCAATCGTTGATTCTTGGAGTTCAGTACGAATGCAACAGGTACAAGAGACTTTCAACAGAGAAAATATGATTGAATCATTTGAAACATAAATATAGCTGAAAAAAATGACATCAGTCAATAATACAGTTTGTTCAAGTGTCCATCAACCTCTAAATACTTTCCGCTCTGCAACTTTAAGTCAGTGAATAGGCAAATTTACACTAATAAGATTTTCCTTTTTTAAATCTTGTTGTAATACACTTTCTGTATTTAAATCATTTTTTAAGATCCATTATTATCAATGTTCAGTAAAGTAATAGCTCACAATGGTGGGAATTGTTGTTTGATTCTCCACCTTCCATATAATTATTAACAAAGTAAAAGCAACTGATGATAAATCAAATGTCCATGCATACAATTTTACATTAAAAAATATAAGTTCAAAAATAACTTAGACTGTACCACACTGCCCTATTAAATTTTGAGATTCATTTACCGAACGACCTTTTTTTCTTACCAGGTAAAATTTGCGTTTTACAAGGACAACGAAGAAGCTGCCTTCGTGATATTTGATGCGACCGGAAGTACAATTACTAGCTGGTTCTCTTCATCAAATATTGTGGATTCATCATGGACCACACTTGCCACAGATTCTTTTAATATTTTCTCCATCTATGGGTGTGTAGCTTCATTCTAAACCATTTCATAAAACCTAAAGTTTCAAGAAAAAAATAAAACAAATAAAACAACAACAATATCTTTCAAAACATTATCTTTTGAAAGATATCAGCTTAATTAAAGATTAAAAGAAAGATTTTATTTTAGAAAAGTATGATTTGAGGTTACTTAATAAGTCGTTTTTAGTTTCATTTTTATTTATTCATTTTTCAATTTTATCTTATTTTAAAAAATCAATTTTCCCCTAGTATAACTTTAACTTCTCATATAGGAAAATGTATAATTTCAATTTTTTTTTCAGTTGTACTATTTCAAATTGAACAGTACTACTGTTATTCCGGTTAGTGGGAAATTTTAGTTTTTAACTTTTCAAGTTTTTCTAAATCTGTCATATTGAATGCAAAGTTTTATTTTTATCATTATAGTCATGATCCAGGTAGAAGGTTTATGATAAATCTTCATTATGGTGGATGCCCTGTGGATGCCGGATATTCGATTATTGTTATTAATAATGCACTACCTTGTACGTACGACATACAATCGTCTTACCCACAATTCATTATTTCTACATCCGCAACTTCCGGCAATCCCGAAGCGATGACAGGTAAAACGAACCTAATTATTATCAACTGTAAATTCCAAAATATTAAAACAATTTTTTTAAACAATTTTCTGCACACTTCTGCATCGGTGCCTCATGAGCAAATCTAAGCCGCCATAGTGGTATGTTGTAAAATTATGACGTCATAACGGAAAACTCCCTCTCTCGAAGCAGAAATGAACTAGAAGTACTTTGTTTTTAAATGTCCTGTTATAGTTCTTAAAAAGTTGGCTTATTTCATAAAACATCTTTTACATTTGTTGCCTTTTGGCAATCAGCAGTTTTATGTTGATTTGGATACTTCTTTGATTAACTTACATTTTGCTATTTTTAGGAAACATAATTCCACACTCAGCACTACTTTCTTCGGATGTTAACAATTTAACAACGACTTAAATCATAAAACGCTAAGCATTTAACAACCTCTTAAATCATAAAACGCACCCCCCCCCCCTTTGTTTTGTCGTTTCCGGGGCACAATATGCCTGAAAACATTTTTGTTTGTTTGTTGGTACGTTTATGTACTTGTTTGTAGCACTAAAGAATCAATATAGATATGCTGCGAAGAAAATAGTATGCACATATCTTTAAAAGTGTTTAACATAAAGAATGAAAGAATTCATGCCGTTTTTGTCCGTGAAATGTGAGACAATGCGATCTTTTTATATAACAAATTATTCACTGAATATCACCACTTCTAGGTATCACATTAGTTGAATTCACTCACCAATAGCAAAGTTTATGTAAAATGATTATTAGTGAATATTGAAACAGAATCTTACTTTGATGTCTCTACTTTTTCAAAAACATCTCACTGGAATAGGGCTTCATTTTTTAAAAATAAGTACAAGATTTAATGTTTTATTTAGAGGTGATGCATATGTTCACTAAATTGTTACCTATTCAATCAATTTCTTATATATTTCATGTTTCGATTTTAAATGTCAAGGGCCTTTGTTTTGTAATGTAAAGTTTGATACATTTGTATGAATTCACAATGCTGTTATTTATATTTCTTTTTTTCAGGAATGGACAAAGCAGATGTTATGGCCATATTCATAAAATAAAAACATGTCGAGAAGTTTAACGTCGTATATGTATCTACATTTGAGCCGTGTCACGACAAAACCAACATAATGCGTTTGCGACCAGCATGGATCCAGACCAGCCTGCGCATCCGCGCAGTCTGATCAGGATTCATGCTGTTCGCTTACAAACCCTATAACAAGTAGAGAAACTGATAGCGAACAGCATGGATCCTGATCAGACTGCGCGGATGCGCAGACTGGTCTGGATCCATGCTGGTCGCAAACCCATTATGTTGGTTTTGTCGTGACACAGCTCATTTGCAGAATGAATAATTGTTTAGCTTAGAGCGATGCACCGCTTTATAATACAGCATATGACACTATGTTATATTCATAAAATATTTGTTAGATTCAGTCACCTTTCATGTGTTGATACATCATTAATCATTGAAAATATCATCAAGAAAAAATGTTGTCGTAAGAATCATAACACATTAAAATATATATGGCAAATACATTTAGAAATTTAGTAACTGTTTTTCAATTCGAAGTAATTGTCTATTTTCTTTATCATAATCATCAACATCATCATCACAATCACAATCATCATCATCAACATCATCACCACCATCATAATCATCATTATCACAATCAACATCATCATCATCATAATCATCATCAACATCATCATCATCATCATCATCATCATCATCATCACAATCAACATCATCATCAAATCATCACACTCAACATCCTTATCATCATTATCATCATCATCATCGCCATCATCAACATCATCATTTACATCATCATCATCACAATCAACATCATCATCACAATCAACATCATCATCATCACAATCAACATCATCATTTACATCATCATCATCATCACAATCAACATCACAATCAACATCATCATCATCATAATCAACACAATCAACATCACAATCATTGTTCGGGAACTTGGGTTCTACTTCAAATATAAATCTAAACGAGTATGCGCCTTTAACTTTTATTTCCTTGATAAACGTCAATAAGCGTTGATAAGCGTTGATAAGCGTTGATAAGCGATTCTCTGAAAATATTCATTTACAATTTGTACTTCGCAATAAATAATAAACATAAAAACATTCACATCATCAATAAATTATATATGAATTACACAATAAATCTAATTAGAACTTTTGTACCTTTAAATTTAAATCTTACTGTAAATTATCTTTTAAAAACAATTGCATTTTACTGTTAAATTAAACATACCGATTTTGACTTGTCTCAATACATCAAGTTCCAGATTTAAAAATGACGAGATTCTCAATAACAAAACAAAACAAAAATGATGACGTCGACGTAAACATCTTACGTCGCGTAAAGTAGCGTAACATATTGACGCCATTAACAACGTTCACAAATCTGAAGTACTTAGAAATCAATACGTTTCTAACAGTCCTCGCCATGAAATTACTCTTAAATTTCATCAAAATTCGCAATAATAAGTACATGTACAATAAAGAGACAAAATTGACCTTTGCCAACTTAAAAATATGTATATTCGAATGGTAAATGTTAAAGCTTAGCTTTTAAACTTTAAAATGTCAATAAGCAACATGAGTATGACTAAGGTGAACTTTCAAGTAGACACAATTTAGTAATAGATTTCACTGATTCAGTGTCTTTGTATTTCACAACACAACTTCTAACATGTCCATCTCGGCTTTCTCGTATCTGGATAACACGTCCTAAGGGCCATTGTCCCCTTGTAGTATTCTCGTCAGAAACTAACACAATGTCACCAACACGCAAATCTGTAGTTTTCCTCTGCCATTTTGAACGACTTTGCAGGGACGGTATGTATTCACGAACCCATCTTCTCCAAAATATATTAGCCAGATATTGTACTTGTTTCCACCAACGCTTTACATAGTTGTCTTCATTCTTAAACTCTCCTCTTGGAATACTGCTGTTAGATTTCATTAATAGTAACATGTTTGGAGTTAAGGCTAACAAGTCATTTGGGTCGTCACTAACTATCCTTTCGGCTTCTGTCATCAAAGTAAGTAGCAGCCTGCTCATCTGTAAGAAGTTGTTGCTTGATTAATGATTTCAAAATAGTTCTCGTAGAACGAATCAGTCTCTCCCACGCTCCTACTCGGTGACTTGCTTGAGGTGGGTTAAAGTTCCACTTAATTTCTTTTTCAGTCATAAATTTTCCTATTTTCGAATTGTTCCATTATTGAATCGAGTGCTTTAATTGACGATCACCGCTCACAAGATTTGTTCCATTATCACTGAACACCTTCTTTTGATATCCTCTTCTAGCCGTAAAACGCAGAAATGCTGCTATGAAGGAGTCAGTTGTCAAAGTGTGTGTACTGCTCTAGTTGCAAGACACGTGAAAAGACAACCGTATCTCTTTACATGTGTACGCTCTGCTTTTACAATAAGTGGTCCAAAGTAATCAATACCTACATTCGTGAACGGAGGTTCATCTGGTGTCGTCTGCTTGGGTAGGAGAGGGGCCATCTGTTGAGTCATCAATGTTGTCGTCTGCATATAATGCAATTCTTTACAATATTTTCACTGCACTAGGTCCCTGAAGTATCCAGTATTTTTCACGGGATGCTGTTTCCCGACGTGACCATTATTTTCATGTATGTGTCGTATTATGTCGTATTATCAATCTTGTCACGGTATTTTTATTGGGTAGTATCACTGGACATTTACTCGGGTTGCGAGATTGAAGTCGACCCTGTACCCGAATGAGGTCATCATATATCACAGGATTCAATGAAGCGATACTGCTGTCCTTTTTGACCGGCTTAGAATTTTGTAAATTGTTAATTTCACTAGAAAATGCTGTATTCTGTACATACAACATTATGTTATGCTCTGCTGTCTGGATTTCTTCTAATGTTAAGTTGCCATCTACCATTTTCAACTTGTGTTTTAGGTATCGCTGTCTGCAGAAAGTCTTGTATCTTAGCAACCATGCGACTGCTCTTCTTAGTTTCGTCCAGCTACTATAGCGATCTATAATGCTATCTAGGCATTCAGCTGCAGAAGTTTTATTAATCAGGACTTCTTTCTTGACCTCGTTATCATTTTCTGCTACTTCCGGCGGAAGTGGATTTTTTGTCCATTTTTCAGAGTCTTGCTGAAGAAACGTTGGTCCATTTAACCATAAATGAAGTTTTTCAGTATCGTATGCACTTATTCCTCTGGAAGCTATGTCTGCGGGATTCGAACTTGTGTGCACATGGCGCCACTGGTCTGGGGAAGTTGTTTCATGAATTATGCTGAGCCTATTCCCAACAAACGTCTTGAACCGCTTGGACACATTATTTATATATCCAAGAACAATCATGGAGTCTGTCCAAAAGGTAACTTGGTCAAAATTCATATCTAATTCTTCAGATAACATTGCAAATAATCTACACCCTACTACAGCGCCAGATAACTCCAGTCGTGGAATAGACATCTGCTTTATTGGTGCTAGATGAGATTTTCCTATCACCAGGGAACAATGTACGTTGTCATGTACATCAACAAAACGCAAGTAAGCGCATGCACCATAGCCTCGTTCCGAGCCATCACTGAATATATGTAACTGGGTATTTCTGACGGTCCCAAATCCCTGTGGTCTGTACCAGCGATTCACAGATAGCTTTTCTAAGCTAGATAAGGTAGATAACCAAGTTTGCCATTCATTACTGATGTTGTGTGGTATCTGGTCGTCCCAGCCAATCTTCAATCTGCACAAACTTTGTACTATACCTTTGGCCTGGAGTGTAACAGGTGACACAAGTCCAAGTGGGTCGTATATAGAACTTACGACAGAAAGAATTCCACGTCTCGTGAAAGGCTTCTTTTCCAATTTTACTTTAAAACAAATTTTATCTTCATTTACATTCCAAAGTACTCCTAAGGCGCGGTCACAAGGTAAGGTATCATCGAAACTCAAATTTACAACAGAAGGGGCGCGTTCGGATTCTGGGATAGCATTCAAAACTTCTCTGCTGTTACTTAGCCATTTAGTCAGTCGAAATCCACCTAACTTCATAATTGACTGAAGATCAGTTGCTAACTTTATTGCCTTTTGTTCTGATTCCACAGACTTCAAACAGTCGTCAACATAAAAATTTCTCTGGACTGTAGTAACCACTTCCGGTTCAAATATTTCGGCATTATCAACTGCAGTTCTCTTTATGGCATACTCCGCACAACTTGGTGATGATGTCGCTCCAAACAAGTGTACATTCATGCGGTAACATTTCGGTTTCTTGTTTAAGTCCCCACCAGGCCACCATAGAAAACGTAAAACATTGCGATCTTCATCCGTAACGCGCACTTGATGAAACATGGATTCTATATCCGCGGCAAGGGCTATTTTCTCTTTTCTAAAACGAATTACTACGCCCATAAGACTGTTCATTAGGTCAGGTCCTTGGAGCAGTTGGCTATTCAATGAAACGCCTTTATATTTCGCAGCGCAATCAAACACAATGCGAACTTTCCCTGGTTTGTTTACATTAGTAACTGGATGATGTGGTAAGTACCAGATACGTTTGTGATAGTTTTCGTCCTCCAATTCCGGTAATTCAGTCGCAAAACCTTTCTCTATATATTCGTTCATGGTAGTTGTGTACATTTTCTGTAATCCTGGGTCACGTGACAGTTTGTTTCTTAGTTGTTGAAGACGCACTTGAGCGAGTGGAATGTTGTTAGGCAATTGTCCGTTTTCGTTTTTCCATGGTAACCCCATCATGTAGTGTCCGTCTTTATGAATAAGAGAAGATTCCATTATTTTCATTGCACTTTTGTCTTCTAAGGACATAGAATTTTTCTCGTTCAATCTGTCTTTAAAATCAGTATTCCACATCTTTTCTAATTGTTCCTGTAATAATATGTCTCTGGACTGTTCAAAGTGAATATTTACTGCACTGGGAGCTGTATCGTCTTTCAAGGGGCCACGAATCGCCCATCCTAGGCGGGAACGCACTGCATATGGTTGGTCACTGTCTCCTGACCGTACTTCTAAGGGGATATGGGCTGCTGGGAAATCTGTGCCAATAAGAAGCATTA